ATAGAGGAGCTGTTTAGGGATGCGAAGGTCTGGCATCCTTGCAACATGGCCTCCCCAGCATGCCTATGCTTTCATCAGCAGGGTGTGAACTGATGGCAGGCCTGCTCTGGAGAGGACTTCTATGTCTACCACTTTGTCCTGCCACCTTGTCCTGCATCTTGTCCTCAGAATTCTATGGAGGCAGGTCATGTGGATGTTGTTCAATTGCCTAGTGTGCTCCTGAAAACAGTCAAAGTTTTACTGGCATACATCAGGGTAGTTAGCATTACTGCTTGGTAGACTTTGAGCTTTGTAGCAAAGCTTATTCCACGGCGGTCCCACACATTGGTCAGTAGTCTGCCAAATGCAGAGCTTGCCTTGGCAATTCTTTAGTTGACCTCAATGTCAACTGTCACTTGGCACAGGTGCTGCCAAGGTATGTAAATTGGTCCACTGCTTTTGGACCAATCACTGTCCAATGTTTTTGTCCATTCACTGTGATGGTGGGCCCTTGGTGTTGGGCTTTCGGAGCTGGCTGATGCATCACTTTGGTCTTCTTTATGTTGATCAGGAGGCCAAAGTTTTCGCATGCTGCTGCAAATTTGTCTACAATGGCTTGCGTTTCCTGCTCTGATATAGGGCACAGTTATCAGCAAAGAGGAGGTCATGTAGCATAGTTTCCTTTATCTTGGATAGCCTGGAGTTAACCTGGAGTCTTTGCAGGTTGAACAGTTTCCCATTGGTCCTGTATCTCAGGCTAACTCCCAAGAACTGTTCTGGAAGATGTCTGACAGCATGTTGAAAACATTATGCTGAACAAGGTCGGTGCCAATGCACACCCTTGCTTGACATTTGTAACACCAAAGGCCTCTGAAGCTTCTCCATTGTCCAGAACATGAGCCATCATACAGTTGTGGAACTGACGTACCATCAGGATGAATCTATCAGGGCACCCAAACTTCGATATGATGCGCCACAAACCTTCACAACTGACAAGCCTTAGTGAGATCCATGAAAGTGGTGTACAATTCAAAATTCTGCTCTTGACACTTATCTTGGAGCTGTCGGGCTGCAAAGATCATGTCCACAGTGCCATGCTGTTTGTGGAAACTGCACTGTGTCTCAGGTAATAAACCCTGTTCCAGGTGGTCAGTCAGGTGGTTCAGCAACACTTGTGCAAGGATCTTGCCTGCGATGGAAAGCAGTGATATTCCTCTATGATTATCACAGACTTGTTGATTCCCTTTCCTCTTGTAGAAGTGTATGATGGACGCATCTTTCAATTCCTGAGGAATGGATTCTTGATTCCAGAAAGACTGGAACAGCTGAGTGAGTTTGTTAACAAACACTGCACCACCATCCTTATAGACCTCTGCTGGGATCACGTCAGATCCTGGGGCCTTGCCACTGAACAGCTGGATGAAGGCCTGTAGGGTTTTAGTCTTTGATAGTGAGGTGTCCAGGCTGTGGTTGATATCTAACTGTGGCATTCTGTCGATCACCTCATTGTTGATGGAAGATGGGCGGTGCAATACGGATTGGAAGTGGTCAGCCCATTGCTGTAAAATCAGTCTTCTCAGTGATGAGAGTTGTACCATCTGAGTCCAGTAGGGGGGAGATTCCTTAGGGCTGAGGTCCGTACAAGTATCTGAGGGCTTTGTAGAACCATTTAGCATCATTTCTATCAGTAAACTGAATTTCATCTGCTTTGTACTCAACCAGGAGTCCTGCATCTTGTGAAGCTTGCTCTGTACAGTCCTGCGAGTGTTGTTGAAGGCATTTTTCTTAGCTGTTGATGACAGGTCATTCTGATAAGCACGGTGAAAAGCATGGTGGTGCTTTTCAGCAAGTAGAGCCTTGATCTCTTCATCGTTTTTATCAAACCAGTCCTGCTGTTTCCTGTGTGGGGGTCCAAGAACCTTTAGTGCAGAAGAGTGTACAATATCCCGAAAGCGTTTCCAGTTCTTCTCAGCATTTCTCTCTAATTGCAGCTTTGAGAGTTGGTTGCCAAGATCTTCTGCTAGTGAAGCTGCTGTGTTGGGGTTCCTCAGTTTACTGACGTTGATCCGTTTCATCACAGCTTTGTTTCCCTGTGGACATCTCCTTGGCTTGATGTGAAAGCTTAATTTGGAGATGATGAGTCTATGGTCAGTCCAACAGTCAGCCCTTGGCATAGCCTTGGTCACCTTTACATCCTGTCTGTCTTTCCTCCACACAATGACATAATCAATAAGATGCCAGTGCTTGGCACGTGGATGCACCCAGGACATCTTTTTGTGAGTGGGTAGGCGAAAGATGGTATTGGTGATGATCAGATCGTCATAATTTATAGTCATAGTCATAATTTATAGTCATAATCATGAATAGTCATAATTTTAAGTGTGACATCTTTTAAGTTACTTCAAAAGTAGCTTTATCTCTCCCCCTCCCCAGTCTTTCCTTTTCAAGCCTAAATATGTATGTTGGCTCATAGCATCAAAATTCAAAAAATATAGTGTGAAGTCAACATATCCACATTGCTGGAATCCTAAATATTCAATTGGAATTGCTGAGGACATGTTTTAATATCTATATAGTCATTCCAAGGATGATGCCATATTTGACCAGAAATAACACATTAGTAATTTTCCATTTTGATCAACATGAAGAAAGTGAAGTATGTTGTCAGCTTCTTGTCTGGAGATAATTGTTTAATATATATCATAAAATAAGAACTCTCATATTGATATGGATGATTTCCCCATTTGGTTCTACTGGCTCTGAAGTTCACAAATGCTTCTCTGCTAAATAAATGCATTGGTGACTTACTTCCTTGAATCTAACCACTGTTAAATCAAAGTAGGTAAGACAAACTTATCTAAGAATTAGGTTAGTTTTCAATGTTTATCCTTTAACCATAGTTTAAAAAGCAGAGAGGTTGGGTTCATGTATCATATACCTATGACTATCATTAAGTGTTGTACCTTATGATTCTGGATGAACTTTAATGTACACTGAGAGCACATGCAGCAAGACAAATTCCTTGTGTGTCCAATCACACTTGGCCAATAAAAAATTCTATTCTATTCTATTCTATTCTATTCTATTCTATTCTATTCTATTCTATTCTATTCTATCATACTATATCATGAGATGGTTTGTTTGAGTTTTGCTTTGTCATTGTAAATCCAAATGTTGTGCTTTGTAAAACATAGTTTATAGTATAGCAGTATATGTCACTCACATCACTGTACCATATTCAAAAAACCATGACTTAAAATTATGAGTTAATATTAAGTGTAAACTTATTACTTTGAGCCTGTGGGACACATTTGCAAAGCGCTGGCAATTCCTAGTGACATCCAGAAAACTCATGATATTAAGTCCAAATTGTCTACTTTTCCATAATAAAAGTCTGTAATCTCATCCTGTCCCTCCCTCCCACCCCCAAAGTGTGGTTGGCTTTCTGGAAATGTGTCCAGATGTGGTTTTTCCAACTGTATTATAAAACACACACACACACACACACACCTCCTTTAAGGATAGACAGTCTGTTTCAGTCTGAGAGCTGTTTTTGCTGGGAGAGGATGGATACATAGATATGTGACATCTGCAGCAGGCAAGGTTATGGTGCAAAGAGACTAAAAATGAGAAATAATATATATGGACAGGATGCAATTTCCCAAGTACTCTGGATGTTCCAAAAAATATTGTAATGCTTTAAACTTTTCCTGAAATTTAATATTGGTGCCATGTTAACATAATAACTTCATTACATACCACGTTGGACAAATAGCTTCCAGGTGCATTGGGGTGGGCACAGATGTTTGGTTTGTACTCAGAACAAAACATTTTGAATTGGCTGTGTTCCAAATGAACAGAATTTGAAAGGCCACATGAGTAGGTGGGATGGCAGGTCATGTGGCATGTTACCTACTGTTCAGCAGGCTGAAAAATTGGCCAGCTTTTGACAAAAACGTTTTTGAAAACATTCTTTAAAATCCCCATAGGAAACAATAGAAGTAATTGTTTCCTAAGGGAACTTTAAAAACTATAATTACAAAATAAAGTGATTTGTGCTAGGCAACTAGTGTTTCCATTATGATAAATCCTGTGGTAGTCGATAACATTTTAGATAGCATATGAAATGTGTACATTGACAATTTTATAAGATTGTCAACTGGTTTTCTAACAGCACAGCTATCCCTGTATTTTTGTATGCTTGTTAAAACACTTTTACAGATTTGAAGTGGGGCAGATAATGTGGCTTGATTAATAAAACAGGGAACAAAGACTTTGCACATTTTTATTCATATACAGAGTATGCTTGATACATGCTGCAGTAGAGAATAATGGCTATTATTTAAGCAGATTTTTGCATTTACCTGTTACGAGACATCCCATACCCTGTTGGGTCATCATTTCAGAGATATTTTCTTATCTAAATAGAAAAAAACATAATGACCCAGGGTAGGCAAACAAACATTGGGAACAGGAGTAACTTCTGACTTTCTACAAGCCTCAATATTGAGTCTCTTTGTGGGAATCTGGCAGCGAGCATCTTTCCTTTCCCTTCCCAGCAGGCAAGTAAGTGACTGCTTCTGGTTGGGGACGGAATAAGGGATTATGAGAGTGGCTAGGAAACTGTCACAGATTGTTGAAAATAAAGATCATGTTACCACAGTAGCCCAGTAGCAGCCAGTATTGCTGAAGCAGTCACAACTTTCCCAAATTTCAGTTCTTCGGAGTCTTGGATCCTGGATTTTGGACACAATTGTATGTAAAGTATTTGATTCAAAAAGTACTTGTTCTAGAATGCAGCATTTTGCCCAGTTAAGTGTCATAACAAGAGTTTTAGTAGTATACACTAGACTAAACTACCTGTTTGTCATATTGTTTATTGGAGCTTAATATTTTAAAAAATCTGAGCTGATTTGTGGATCATGAAATGAATGCCCAGTTTGATAAGTTTACCTTATCCCAACTAGTACGCGTTCATTTACTTTAACCTAGGTAATAATTTTGTTTCTTTCTCATTTCAGTTGTTCGAGTTCATGAACTTTTTGGCTGAGAATGTAATATTTTGCTATATGGGACTAGCACTGTTTACATTCCAAAATCATATTTTCAATGCTCTATTTATATTTGGAGCATTTGTATCCTTTGTTCAAGTAATAGGAAATGCATAGTACAGCAAACATATGGTTTTTATTTTCATGATGAACAGATAAATTGTATAACTGGAAACATAAACTAGAACCCAGAGATCTCAATGCATATATAAAATGTTTCTGCTGTTTATTTTTTTTTTTTTTTCGGTGCAAGAATAGCCCATTCCTCCTCATACAATTCCTAGGAAGTGAAGATATACTCTTGGCTTTACTCCTGACATAGGCATATTGCATGTCCCATATTTGAAGACCACCGTTGGATGCATGGTCATTGGATAAACTGATACATGAACAACTGCTTGAACAGTGATGTCTCTAAGTTAAAAACATTAATGATATGCATGTGCTGTTATAATGATAATGAATTTCATTACTATTATTATTAATTATGTGCCATCGAGTCATTGCTGACTTTTAGTGATCACATAAATTTTCTCCATGATGATCTGACCTAAACCTGATATTTAGGTCTCCTAATGGTGTATTCATCACCTATGTTATTGGGTTAACCCATCTTGCTGATGGTCATCCTCTTCTTCCCTTTCTTTCCATCTTTTCCAGAATTAGAACTTTCTGCAGAAATAGGACTTCCTAATATGTCCAAAGTAGGATAATTTGAGCCTAGTCATTTTTGCCTTGAGTGAGAACCCTGGATTGTTTGTTCAATGAGCTATTTTTGTTTGTTGGTTTTCTTAGCTGTCCATAGTATTCTCAGGAATCAAACTCAGAACACCAAAGTTCAAAAGCATCAATACTCTTTCTTCTTGTTTCTTCAAAGTCCAAATTTTGCTTTAATAGAATGTCACAGAGAATACCATAGTTTGCACAGTTCTGATCTCTGAATGTATAGACACACCACTGCATTTAAATATATTTTCTAAGGGCTTCATGGCTGCTCTACCAAGAATTAGTCTTTGGTGTATTTTTTGACTGTTTGTTCCTTTGCTGGTGATAGTTAATCCTAAAAAGCAGAAGCAATCTACCAATTCAATATCTTCACTGTTAATTCTAAGGCTAGTTCTTCTGTTGTCATTAATTGGGTCATCTTTATGTTTAATTTTCGTCCCACTTTTTTTTCCTTTTGCTCCTTAACTCATTACTAGAATTTGCAGATTCTTTGCATTTTTGGCTATCAGGGTACTGTCAACAGCATGATACATATTATTGATATTTCTTCCTTATTCTAACATCATCCCTTTCAATCCATTTTCTCTTAATATATTCAGTACATAGAGGGTGAATAAATAAGGGGCAAGTATACACCCTTGTTTAACTTATTTGCCAACCTAGAAGTAGTTTCTTTAACCATGTTCTGTACGTACTATGCATCCCTGACCTGTATATAAATTTCTCATGAGGACAATGATATGTTTTTTTACCATTTTTCTGAGCCTATTCTACAGCTTGATGTGATCAACACAATCAAAGCCCTTTTTATAATCAATAAAGCACTTAGTGACTTCTTTTTGATATTCTTTGGCTTTCTTATTTTCCAGCATGTATCAGCAAAAACATCTTATGTTTCTTGGCCTTTTCTAAAAGCATTTTGAAAATCTGGCCCCTCTTTTTTCATGTAGGACTTAATCTGCATTGAATGAAGCATTATTTTACTTGCACCTGAGATTAAGGATATCACATAATAGTTTGCATACCCTGTTAAGGTTCCCCCAGTCTCCCACCATCTCTTTTTTTTTCTTTAATGTAGATTGACCTCTTCCAATATGTTGGCCCCTGTGTCATTCTCAGATTTCTTGGCTCAGCTTGGTTAGAATATTTACTGATTCTTATTTTTATTAATATTGGATTTTTTAATCTCATTTTTTTATATATTGGTCAAGACAGCCAACATACTGAACCTAATACTCCTATCTCCTATTCACAACAATCATGTAAAGTGGGTTGGGCTGAGAGAGAATGACTGGCCGAAAATCACCCAGCTGACTTTCAGGCCTAAGGGAAGCCTAGAATTTACAGTCACCTGGTTTTTGGACAAGCAATCTTAACTACTACATCAGCTGGCTCTCTTCTTTTATTTATTTTTTTTTTTTTTGGGACATCTAAAAAAACTATAGTGAAGATTTCTCAGAGATTTAGGGACAAAGCATGCGCCTAAAAAAGATGGAATATGAATTTAGATTTAATATGTTCAAGAAAGAATTATAAAGATTATTTTAAAAAGTAAGATGCTAAAAGAAAGAGCAGACTGTGAATAGCGATCAAAATATTGTATTTTTCCAATTCCATTTCCATCTAAACTCACAATTCTGCTTCTGAGTTAAATAATATTGATTAATCTTGGTCTTATATCATACAGTCCTTCCTTATTTTTCTCAGCTTCTAATCCCAAATGATGTAGGTGGCAGTTTTTATAGCAAGAGCCTGTAACATATATCCAATTTCATTTATTTTGAACGTGGGCCGAAAACAAAAAATTCCAAAGAACTTTCAACATATGATGATGTTCTCAGGTAAGCTGATTGTTTCTACTATGATACAAAAAGAAACCTTAACCTCACCACTAGCTAATATAAATAATATATTTTATGCCTTATAGTTTTTAGATTTGTAATTTTTTAAAAGGAACACAAAAATAAACAGAAATATTATCACCATATTAGTTGTTCAGAGATGCTTTTTCCAAAAGGCAAATGGATTTTCTTAGGGGGTTTTTTTCTTTGAAAATGTTTTGTTTCTCATCCAAGAAGCTTCTTCAGTTATAACTGACTGGTAGGGAATGGAAGAATTTATATTCTTTGCAGTCATCTGGTCAGTCATTAGGTCTTTGACAGTCACTGAGACCACTTGGGGGTTTATCTGAATTTAGAATAACAGAGTTGGAAGAGACCTTGGAGGTCTTCTAGTCCAACGCCCTGCCCAGGCAGGAAACCCTATACCACTTCAGACAAATGGTTATCTAACATCTTTAAAATTTCCAGTGTTGGAGCATCTGCATTCTAAGAGTCATGTGAATCAGAGTACAAATTGCGTGGAACCTTCTTGGAACTGCTGAAAGAACTGCATTGTAAACAGGAGATACAGTTAGTGGATACAGTCCCTCCCCCTCTGTTGAAGGCTGTTCAATTTTAACATAGATGGCCTCTGACTCTTCTTACAAATCAGTGGTCCTCTTGGTCCAGAATGTGAACTTTGCTTCTGCCTTCCTTAATGTGTACTACACAGTCCAGGAAGGCTAGATTATTTTCCTTGAATGTGAGAACTTAATGTTGCAGTCCACAAAATTAATGTGTTTGAAGGTTTCCATCTTAACAGAAAGATGTTAAGGAAAATAGTCTAGTCTTCCTGGACATTAAGGAAGATAGAAGCTTCAACAGAAAATCCACGCACAGAGATCAGTATTTGAATCATCCACTGGATTACACACTTGGAGTAATCAGAACCCTATACCACCAGGCTGAAGATTTGCCTACCAGCAAAGAGAGAAAAGAGAAAGAACAAAAACACATTAAGGAAGCCCTCAGAAAGATTATCTTAACAAGGCCTTCATCAATTTCACAAAAAGATCACAGCAGAAATTCTTTCATAACAGACAAAGAAATGGAACAACATTGCCATTCCATGCATTGCAGGAATATCTGAAAAGCTCAGGAGGATTTTCAGCCAATGCAATATACAGGTATGTTTTAAACTCAGGAATATATTAAGGCAGAAACCTGTCCGCCCCAAGGACAAAACAAACTAAACAATGTGTTATATGCAGTACAATGCAGTGAGATATGTGTAAACCTGTATATTGGAGGAAAAAAACAACCACTTCACAAACACATGGCCCAACACAGAACAAATTCATCAAGTCCTGTGGCTTTAAGAACTTCTTCCCTGGTCCAACACCTTAAAGCCACAGGAAATGAAATTGACTTTAAAAAGACCAGAACTATCGCCAAAACTGAACACTTTAACAACAGAATAATCAGAGAAGCCATCGAGATAGAAAAACGCCCACACAGCATGAATAAACGAGATGATACCTCCCGCCTACCAGCCATTTGGAAACCCTTATTGACAAACAAGTCCCTAACACAAAGAATGACACCAGATCCACACTCACGAAAACCACACAGGATGTCACCACCACACATCCACTCAAAAAGCAAACTAAAACCCACACCGATGATAAGGCACAACAACAAACCAGAAGCCAGACCACAGCTGCATCATTAGCCACTTTAAACCCCTCCAATCCATACATGAAGCAAACTGACACCCACCATGAAGATGTGGCATGACCACGAACGTGAAGCCAAACAACAGCAACGCAGCTCACCAGCTCAAATCCCCCTGCAACTCAGACTAACCCGAGCACAACCAAGCCCCCACCCAAACAGAACACACCCCCATCCAATCAGAGCACAGCCAAGTCCCCATCCAATCAGAGTACAGCCAAGCCCACAACCAATCAGAACACACCTCCACCCAATCAGAACACAGCCAAGCTCCCACCCAATCAGTTCACACCCCCAGTGGCAGTTAAAAGGAAGAAACAGCTGTGATCATACATTGCTCCTAGAAGCACCAGCCTGAATTTTACGCGGGAGATATATATCTCTATATATATCATATATATATATATATATATATATATATATATATATATATATATGTGTGTGTGTGTGTGTGTGTGTGTGTGTGTGTGTGTGTGTTTTCTTTTCGTAGGTCTTTATGTGTATTTCTCTTTAGCGTAGGAAGAACCTGGCTAAAGAGAAATGTGTGTGTGTGTGTGTGTGTGTGTCAGAAGTTGAAAGATTATGATTATGTATAGTTAAATAGAAACTTACTGAATAAGAATCAAACATTTTCAAAGAAAAAACCCAAGAAAGTCCAATTGCCTTTTGGGACAACCATAACCTGGATGATTGAGAATCTCCATAGACACTGTATTCCTTGTTTAAAAGAAGAACAAGCAATGACCATTATACTTTTCTTGTAAGAAATGGAGAGAAATATATTGTAGCAACTAAGCAGAATTGCTCTGTGATCAATGGCATTCACTGGGAAGGCTTATTATCATTTCAGAAAGGCCTCTATCCTCTGATGATGATATGCAATAATGATTTTAATCACTTTAATTACCCGGGTGCAGCATGCCTATTATAAAAGTTTATGAAATGGACTTAAAAGTGGCAGCTCAGTTGAGGAAACTAAATTCAGATGGTATACCATATGGTGTTTCATCTCTATTCTCTGGAGAACAGGCTTATTCATTTTGGAGGGTATCTCTCTCATGTTAAAATAATGTCAGATTGCCCCTAGCTTTGATGAAATAGTGGCCAGCTGAAGATTTCTTGGGTTATAGCATGCTTTTAAATGATGCAAACATAAGTATGCATCTTTTTTTACTCACTACATATTATGTAATCTGCATGCCCTTTATAATTATATATTAAGCATGTATATTATATGATGCCTAGTATGTATAAATTACCAGCATTAGATTGTTTTTTGATTTGTAAATGTTTTATAGCATCACTCCATATCTTTAAAGTTATATAAAATCTATCTTCATTGTTCTTTCTTTTCTTTCTGTTAGCTGTCACAGTCAAAAATTACTGTCATTGACCCACATAGAAAATACAATATAAATCTATCCCTATATAAAAATACAATATATTAGTACAATGAGGGTTATATAGCACTGTAAAAGACCATTAAAAGAGCATGTTTGGATAGTGGCCTCAGCATGGAACAATGATGACACACATTTTTCAGGAATGTCAACTGTCGGCAAAAAACTTTCACATTTCTTCAGATTTTTTTGAATATTTACATTGCTTTAGCTTATGAGGCTGATCCCACTAGATAATGGCCGATTTATTTTTATTCCAGTTAAGAAAATGAATCATTGAAAAATTACTCCATTACTTCAATATTTCAAATCTCCCACCTGTTCCTGATTACATATTATGCTACTGATTTCAATGGAGAATAGGAAAAAGTAATTGCATGCAGCAACATTCAGCAAGATGAAAGTTGGGTCATAGAGTTTTCAAATGTTCTTCCTCTTGCAGAGTTTTTTTAAAACTACCACTAGTGCTTTCAGGTCTTGCTCTCTTTTCACACTCCTATTCTTTGAACAATTAGGACCTTTCTTTGCATGAAGTAACAAAGCACGTGTCTGCTTTGTGACATGGTTTTATAGGGGCTAATGGGGAATTCAGAAACTGGTAATACTTTTGCACGAGATTGACAGGGAGAGGAAGAAAATATCTATCTTTAAAATGTGCAATTGACTATCAGTATTTCCATTTGACTACAGGTAATCTTCAATTTACAGTCACAACTGACCCAGAATTTTGGTCATAAGCCATTGTGGTCATTAAGCTGGTCACCATGTGACTTGGCTCAATCTTATGACTCTTTGTGATGGTCACAAAGTGAGTCACTGAAGTCATTAAATGAATCATAGGGTCATTAAATGATTCTAGCATATTCAACGGGCATTTTTTGCTATTTTCTGCCCGAGATGCAGTGACCTTCAAGGAAGGATCATAAGTACCTTTTTTCAAACTACTGTAACTTTAAACAGTTGTTAAGAGACCAGTCATTAAACAAGAACTATTCTATCTCTCATTTAACCTAATTACACACTCAATGAATTTAAATACCCAGAATGGAAGAGGAGGTTATAAAAAAGAGGCACCCCAAAATTTATTTATTTATTTATTAAATTTCTTTGCCCCCTTCTCACCACGTATGTTTGCTGATTATTTAGAAGTTCAAAAGAATGCTTGTTTATCATAACATAAGCATTTTAAAATTTGTCTTGTTTTCCCATAAATCTTAAATATTTTAAACAATCACTAGTTTGTAGATGAAGAATAGTCATCATCACAATATATAATAGTATGTATAGAAATCTATATTTTCTTTATATGTCAACCTAATAAATTAAATTTAAAAATACTCATAATCTCAAGACCAGAAATATACCTTTGAAAGCAGAAAATGTTTCCTCCAGTTAGAGCCTCTATCATAGCTCTTTTTTTGTGAGAATAAGTGATTTGTGGTTCAAGAATCATATTCAGACCACACCTTTCAGCAGATTTGGGGGGGGAGGGGGAGATGACTGCTAAAATGCTTACAGTCAAAATCATTTATGTGACTCTTTTGGAAAATAAAGAAAATGAAAAAAAGTTGTAGTTAATATGGAGTGCCAGGAATTAAATAAGTTTTAAATAATCATTAATAACTAGTGGCAGTTGAATCAAATAAAGATGGATGGATGGATGGATGGATGGATGGATGGATGGATGGAAGGATGGTTTTGGGAAAGATATAATTCATGAATGTTTGTACTACGATAACTAATGTTTAAGGTACACCAATATTTTTTAATGTTTGGGTGGTAGAAAATTAAGAGACTCCTTTTTCTTAAACTTTTAATAGATTTTTATGTTTATAAAAGAATATTAGTGTAGTAAGTACCATTGGGGGCATGAAGTTCAAATTCTGCCTTAAGGTGGGGATATCCATGTGATGGCTGTTTGAAAGTGGGAGGGAGGGAGGATTTGATCACCTCTAGATAGCTGCTGACAAGCAGCTAAATGTTGATTTCATTTTCTTTGTTTTCCAAAAGAGCTACTTAAAATTTGTGTCCAATAACATATAATATGTAAGACATACAATAAAAACTGCTAGTTCTTAAAGCAGTTAAGGCTGACAATTTTGTTCATTATTTATTCATTTCATAAAGGTACATTCTGCAAAAAGTATCCGTAATCAATATATAATTAGATGGGGTCTTACTGGGGTTATTGGTCACGACAGTGTTTATTTCTGAAAGAGGTTTCTAAACTATAATAAAATAATATGATTATATGAAAACAATGAGACAAAATTTAGCCCATTCTGAGAAGCAAGAAAAGCTAAAACATTCATCTGATTGGGATGGACTTGTATGGATTCTAATTCTAAAACTTGACTTAATTCTTTGTTCAAACTGTCTTCCTTTAAAAACAAATGTTCATGCTAGGGGAATTTAAAATGTTTAGATAAGGGTGCTTAATAAAAGATTGGTTTTAAGCTATAATATGAAGATGCTTTTGCAATCATGTAAGTTAAAGCTAAATATACAAAATAAACAAAATAGAATAAATGATGGAGATGCAGTCTGTTCCATAAATCAGCACAATAAATAAACTAAGTGAGAGTCAGCAATATGCAGTGGTGGGTTTCTACCAGTTCACCCTACTGGTTTGGGAGAACCAGTAGTGGCGGGAGGCTCGGCCCATCTGCCTGGACATCTCTGCGCATGTGCAGAAGCGTCACACACATGCGCCCACAAGCAAACAAAATTTTGTAGCAAACAAAATTGAAACCTACTACTGGCAATATGGCATATTTTACAAAAGGAACTCTCATGGGTACTTAATACATAAAAGAAATAACTATATTTTACACAAGGAACAAGACTTTTATAATACCTATATTATTGTTCTCTGGAAAAAAATATGAAGCAAATTATAATTTCAATGTAACAGGCTGTCTTCTAAATTAAACTAGTAATTCAAACAAGACACTGATATAACTGTATAGATATTTATACAGTTATATACAATATATTTATATTTATTTTATAGAGAAAAAAACTTTCATCATTTTACAGAGGAAGGTAAAACCTAATAGTTTGTTTCTCTAACCAATAAAACGAGCTGCACCTAGAAATCCTAAAATGAGCCTTGAATATGCAGAATTGTAAGATGAATGCCCATTCAGAAGATAAAATATAATCTGCATCTAAATAAATGTCAAAGCACTACCTGATGTAATAGTAATTCAAATTAAAACTTTCCCATAGAAAGATTTAGACATCTATTTTTGTAAATACGCTGTGTAATTTCAGGTGTATGTGGTGCATTCATTTGGCTTTATATTCACAAGAAAAGCTGTTTGTATCTTTTTTAATAGTTTAGGATAAGTACATCACAATAGGTTATGATCATGTCAGTGCTGAAATTGTGCCTGCCAATTCCCTCTCACCAAAAGAGCAGATGGCATCATTCAGGACTTTCATTCATTTTGTTTCCCAGGGACATTGCCATTTATAACATTTGTTTCGTTTTTACTCTATGACTAGCGGCAAACTAGATGACCTTAATTCATATTTCTGTGACATTCTTCATTTATAATTAAGCCAATACTTTCACATGTGTTTACCAACTCCAGTTTAATTTCCCTGAATTAGGCCTTCATTTCTAACTAATAATTTATTATATTACATGAGATCACTTGATTAGATTTACTGCTGCATTTTTCTTCATGTTTACAACAAACCTCCTTTTTAATAAATTTAGCAGAGGGCTTAAGTGGTGGTAGAATTGTGGTCCACTAATGAAATAATTAACCGTGTGCTATGTACTTATTAAGTACTTCTATGTTGGCACAATCAAAATTCTATGGGCAGCTTAGATGCTAGTTAAAATATGGTACAAAATAAAAACACACAAGAATGAAATAATACAACCACACATAATAAAAATGAAGATGGCAATATGAAAGCAAAGGATGGCTCTCAGAAATTACTCATTCTTCAAAAATTTCCAAAAAACTAACAAAGATTGAACTAGCCAGATCTCCACAGAGAGGATACTCAAACATCAAGGCTGCCACAGAACAGCAGTGCACCCTTGCTTAACTCTGAAAAGTGTGGTCCTGCATGGGGGACAACCATAAAGGCTTTATAGGACAAAATATCTTAAATAAGACCCAGAAATCTATTAGCAACCAAGGCAGGGTTTGCAAAACTGGATTTATACAAGCACCTGTATTTTGTACAACTGCTGTTTCTGAATACTCTTTAAGGACAGCCCCAGGTCTACTTGGGGTAGATTGCATAGAGCTAATCTAATGAGCTCCATGCTTTCTCTTGACCTTTCTCTGAATTTTTCCATCCAAACCTTATTGTCTCACCTATATGTTCCATCGCTAAACCATCTCTCTCCTCTGTAATTATTTCCCTTCTTAGGACATAATCTGGAATAGTCTACATTTATTTATATATATATAATTTATATTTATATATATAATTTATATTTCGCTGATAAAGAAATAAAGGGAGACTAGTATAGCTCTATTTCAAGCTATTTAGCTCTTATCAGCTAGCCTTACCCTTACTTGGATTCGAACTTGGTCTGCCTGCATGTTAGGCAGTTGTATTAACCTCTGAGCCACAAGTTCTCCTCCCATCATCATCTTATTGTATTATATTACAATAATTTTAAGCCCTTTGTCTTCCCTTCCTTTTTTTTCTGAAGGTCTACGTGGTGCAATAGCATTTGCACTAGCTATTCGGGACACAGAATCTCAGCCCAAGCAAATGATGTTTACAACTACTTTACTAATTGTCTTCTTCACAGTCTGGGTGTTAGGAGGTGGCACTACATCAATGCTTGCATGGCTCCAAATCAGGTAAATATCATTAGTTTATAATTTCTTCTTAGAAAAGTTATTTGTTCATCCAATTAATTTTTACCTCTATTCCTTTAGCAATATTTTTTCTTCGTTGGGGGTGGGGTTGTCATATATAAAGCATAGATAGCCATGAATAATTAAAAGGGATCTCAATGTTAGTGGGTGAAATTCTGAAATATTTTTAAGTGTATTTCCTGTTCTTATTCCTTATTTGAATAGTTTTTCTGGAGTGTATATCTTGAGATGTGCTTCATTTAAATTAGCTTATTTCAGTTTGGCACCCCAAGATGTGTTAGGACTAGTATAGTCTCAAATTTTATTTATTTATTTATTTATTTATTTATTTATTTAGCTTTAATTTATATGCCGCCCTTCTCTGGAGACTCAGGGCAGCTTACAATGCGTTAAGCAATAGCCTTCATACTTTTGTATATTTATACAAAGTCAGCTTATTGCCCCCACAATCTGGGTCCTCATTTTACCTACCTTTGAAAGGATGAAAGGCTGAGTCAACCTTGAGTCTGGTGAGATTTGAACTTGCAGTAATTGCAAGCAGCAGATGTTAATAACAGTGCTTTAGTCCACTGTACTACAAGAGCTCTTTAAGCTATGTTCATCCATTCTGGTGGTAATTGTGGTTCATTTGAAGCCTGCAAATTTGGGGAAAAGTGCTGTAAGCTAATACATTTATAGTCCTAATTTTATTCAGCATTGGTGTCTCCTGCCAACTATTTCAGAGTTGGATGACAAATACTGTTTTTATTGCATATAATTTTCACATTGCTCATTTAATATTCTTCTTGCTTCGCACATACAACTGGAAACCTTTGCTGACAAATCACTCTTATTAATTGGTTAATTTATTAACTGTAGATTGAAAATGTGCTATTGCACTGGGTTTAAATAGAAGTTGTCTTTTTGAAGACAGAACTGGGGGGCTTGGAGGAATAATTATGATATTGTGCAATTTATATTTGATGTAAACTGTAAATTAGATGTATCATTCAGAATGACTTTTCTGATCATAAATTGTTACTTCCTTTTATTGTTTAGCCAAAACAAATCTAGATTTTTAAAAAGAAAGATTATCTAATTGACTTACAATAGTGTTTGTGTATGTGTGTGTGTGTGTGTGTGTGTATCCTTTAAGCAAAGATAATTAGTAGTGCTATTTACCAAAATTGCAGCAGTTTGATCCTAGTAAATTTCGGCAGCAGAAAACCCTGGTTCAATTCTTCTGTCAAATTAGAGCTATCCAACATTAAATGCAAAAATCCAGATGTGGACTAGATAGCAGCAAAGAGCCATTTGGTCTTTCATTTGGTCATCGTTTAGATTCAAATATTTACTGTGATAACAGTATACAGAACACACTGTGTACATTTGGGGAATATGTTCCATAAGTTTAGTATATTACTAAATATTATACTGAGTAGTCAGGATTTTTTTTTATTTTTATTGAAAAGTTTTTTAAAAAAAATTTTACAAACAATTTTCCCACCCCTCCTCCCCCCTCCCAACCCAACCCTCCTCCCCCCCACCTGGACTTCCCAGAGCAAAATACAGGGTATAGCATTTAACAAACATAAGCTAACATATGCAAACTATCTATAAACTCCTATCTCCCTCTTGCACTTTAACTCCCCTTTACATGACTAAATATAAGAATTCCCTTAAATATCTTTTTTTTCATTCACAAGCTATTTGAAACTTTTTAGTCAATCCATCTTCTCCATTCCAATATATATCTTTCATTTGAGTGATCCTTCAAATATGCTGACATTTTAGCCATCTCCGCTAAATTCACTACTTTTAGTGTCCATTCTTCAATAGTAGGTAGATCTTCCTTCTTCCAGTACTGCGCTACCAAAAGTCTGGCTGCGGTTATTAAGTTCAAAATCAAATTAGTCTCTATAACCGTACAATCTGTAATTATACCCAATAAAAACAACTGTGGGGTAAACTTTATCTTCTTTTTAAGAATATTTTGCATAATCCACCATATTTTTATCCAAAATGCCTTGATTTTTTTACATGTCCACCATATATGATAATACGTGGCATCATCACACTTACATCTCCAACACTTGGATTGTAAACCTGGATACATACAAGCTAACTTTTTAGGATCTAGATGCCATCTAAAAGACATTTTATAAAAAATTTCTCTCAAGTTTTGGGCATAAATTTTACATTTCTAACCCATATTTTTTCCCACATTTCCATCATTATTGGTTCCTCAATATTTTGTGCCCATTTTATCATACAGTCTTTGACTAACTGCATTTCTGAATCTATCTCTATCAATACATTATACAACCTTTTTATGTGCATTTGACCTTGGTCTCTAATTTGTTTTACCAAGTTTTCCTCATTTTGCAAGATACCAATTTTCTGATCCTCTTTCCATCTAGCTTGCAGCTCTCCATACTGAAACCAAGTTTGAATTATCCTTTCTTCTTTTAATACATTCAAAGATTTTAACTGCAGTGTGCCTCTTTCCATAATAAGAAGCTCTTTGTAAATAATCACATCTTGTTTTTGTTATACACTTATATTCTCTATCGCATGACTGGGTATTGCCCATATAGGTATTTTGTTGTTGTTGTTTATTTATTGTTTATTTTATATTGATACTTTTTCCAGACATGTAATAACGCATTCCTTAATATATGACATTTAAAATTCTTATCCACCTTTTTATCATATAATAAATATGCATGCCAGCCATATACAAAATCATATCCCTCTATATTCAATATTCTCTCTTCTGTTGGGTTAGTCCAATCACTAATTGCTGAAAGGGCAGCTGCCTCATAATACAATCTTAAATTGGGCATTTTGAGACCTCCTCTCTCACGTATATCTTGCATTATTTTTTGCTTTATTCTCGGTCTCTTTCCTGCCCAAACAAAGTTACTGATACCCTTCTGCCATTCCTTCAAATTTGCATCTTTTTTAAGTATTGGTATCATTTGAAAAAGAAATAAAAACTTTGGTAAAACATTCATTTTTACTGCTGCTATTCTTCCCAACAAAGACAGTTGTAGTTTTTTCCAGTTTTCCATCTCTTTCTGTATTTTTTTGCCACAACGGTTCGTAATTATACTTGTATAATTTTACATTTGAAGTCACAATATAAACCCCTAAATATTTAACCTTCTTTACTATTTCAAATCCTGTTATTCTTTCTATTTCTTCTTTTTGATTTATAGTCATATTTTTAGTTATTATCTTTGTTTTCCCTGCATTTATTTTAAATCCAGATACTTGTCCATATTGATTAATTATATCCATTAAACCTATAACCGATTGCACTGGTTGGATTAAAGTAACAATCAAGTCATCTGCAAATGCTCGTAATCTATAATCATAATGCCTAATTTTAATTCCCTTTATTTTATCTGAACCACTTATTTTATTCAACAAAAATTCCAAAGTCAAAATAAACAGTAATGGAGACAAAGGACATCCTTGTCTTGTTCCTTTTTCAATATTAAAAGTTTCTGTTAAACTACCATTAATTATTATTTGTGCTGTTTGTTTCTGTATATTGCCTTAATAGATTGTGTAAAATTCTATTATTTTCAATAAAAAATTCCAATTCAATCAATCAAATGCCTTCTCCGCATCCAAAAATATAAGCGCCGCAGGGACTTGGTTGTTATTCCCCAGATATTCCAATATGTTAACTATTTGCCTTACGTTACTTTTCATTTGTCTCCCATTTATAAAACCAGTTTATAAAACCAAAACATGAATCGTTTGTTGCATAACTAGCATTAACCTATTTGCTAATATTTTAGCAAAAATCTTGTAATCTGTATTTAAAAGCAATATAGGCCTATAGTTCTTTGGCTGACTATGGTCTTGATCCTCTTTTGGAAAAAAAGCATAGCCCTTTCTGGTTCTCAGCATTTTGGGGGGAATTTCTTTCAATATTAAAACCTCCTGCCCTGCCACTTGAAGTTTATTTTTGTAGGAAGCTTGTAAAATTTCATTTCGTATCCTCCTTGTTGTAAAGTAGATTACAATATCTCTTGGTAAATGTTTCTGTCTGGCAACCCATGAGTTAACACGATAAATTTTGTCAATTTGCCATTCAAGATCTGCCTTTTGTTCTCCAATTATCTGTGCAAGGGCTTCTGCAAAGATCTCTCGCAAATTCTCTTGATTATTTTCTCTCAGGCCTCTTACCCTCAGGGCAAACTCCATCGCCCTATATTATATCATTGTCACTTCTAAGTCTGCCCTCTCCATCTTTGTCTGGACCTCACCCATTTTATTTTCCAAATCCACATTGGATTGATTAATTTCTTCCACTCTTTCATCCAGCCCTTCAATATGGCTTGCCAGACCCTGAAATGCCAAAACAATATATTCTCTGATTTCCTTATTTCAAATTTAAATTACCTCTTTAATTTCTGCCATCTCTTCAGCCACATCCTGCATTTTTTCTTCAAAGACAGAAGTAATTTTTTCCTCTAAAACAGAGGCCTGTGTCTTTAAAGCTTCCTGCAAAACTTCCAGTGTTAATATTTGTGGTTCCATTGGAGCTGACAAAGATTGCAATTTAGATAGTTGGGCTGGTGATCCCCCAGCACTTTTAGCTGCAACAGTTTTTATTTGTCTTGAAGCCATTTTCTAATTTTCAATTTTAATTTTAAACTTTTGCAACAGCCAAAACAATAAGTCCACTAAATCAAGTTAATTTCAAGTCCTCAGTAAATTTTTTGATTCGTCTAAAGTCAATTTTAAATCTTCATTCTCTTAAAATAAAATCCAATAATTTTAAACACGAGCTGTCAGCACTAGATGATACTTTGCTCTTAACTTTCACTTCCATGCCCCATTAAAGCTCCGGTGCCATTTCCTTTCTCTTTCTTCCCTTAATAATCCAGAAGGAAGTATATAATACACATTCAGAGTTAAAGTTTGGTACTTGCAATTATGATCACTCCTGCCTTTGCTCTGCCTGCTTTTGTATCCAGTATTTT